ATGGTATTGCTATTCAAAAGAATCTGGTCCCATGCCCTAAGGGTGCATACATACCCTCAGTGGGATCCACACAGCTATATACTTGACCTAGTGCATATTAGATGGCCCCATCACCTTCAGAACTAATCTAAGCACCTCACAATCTGTAATGGATTTAGCTTTACAGCCCTCCAAAGAGGCAGGGAGCTACTAAACCAGCATTTCTCAACCTGTGGATCACAACCCAAAAGTGGGTCACATGAATATATGAAAGGGTTGTGAACAAACTTGAAAAATGGATTCTTCTTTAAAGAAGAAAAACGTAGGAAATCGTGGCTCTTCCCTTGCAGGCTGGTAGAGCTCCAACCTGCAAGGGGCTGTTTGCCCCCACCCACACACACACCCACCCCTACCCCACGCAGTGGAGGGGAGGGGACAGTGGGTCAGGAATGAGCAGTGGGTCAGGACTAGCCAATGATATTTACAATTGGGTCCTTGTACAAAAAAGGTTGAGAACCACTGTATTAGACCATTTTACTCTGTATAACAAAAATAGCCAGTTCTGTAAAACTGAGAGGGAGATCAGAACAGAAAAAAATACAGTATTCAAAGATGTATGCCAGGGTTCCTATATCACCACTAACTAAATCCAGCCCTGGTAACAAAAGATACTTTCCGCTTTCTACAGAAAAGTGTTTCTGGATTCTACAGCACACTTCATACCATCTCAAAAGGAAAGAATCAGCCTTGAATTTTTGCTTACAACTGTTTGCTCCATATATCAAAAGCCACAATCATAAGTTGCTGAAGAAATCAAGCTAAAAAAAATGCAATTTGGACTAAGTGGGCTCCCTCCTTATTCCTGGGCATTTTGATTATCCTCAGCAAAAATGGGGGGGAGGGAGGAAGAAAAATCCAACAGTATTTGTTATTTCTTTTCAAGTTCTGTTTTAGAAGAGCATTAAGAATTAATCTGTGATGACAGTGAGAGAAAACAGCTAAGAGAGATTCTTATAATAATTCAGATTTAATAGGCTGTGAATTTATTAAGTAGCTGGAAAATTTTAAATGTACTTTATTTATATTAACTTATGCTCAATGTTTGAAACAATAGAAACATTCAGGATTTACATTTACCTATCACCACTGAGAGAGTGGAAGGTAATTTTTACATAATATTTCATATAATATTATACATTTAATTTTGATTGTGCACTGTGATATAGACTCCGATATCAGCTTGATGCTTGGTCCTATGTATTTTTGTGTGAATTTCAGCTAAATTTGGATATAGCTTCAAATGCAGACTACATGAGCATAGACAAGTTTTTACTTTTTAATCCTTCAGAAGCGCAAACTATATGAAATAACTTTTCAGTTTTACTTTAGAACAGAAAGGGTTAATCTGTTGTTGTTTATAGAGATTTAGACATGATAAATTAGCCACTAGATGGCTCCTTTGGTGTTTCTTGAATGAGAGAAACCTGTTGAAAAGTACAGGGAAATTCAACAGAAAAATCAAATATAATACCTGAAATCAAATGAAGTCACTGAATTAGTTCATAGCAAATTCCCCATTTACACAAAATGTAATTACAATAATTTCATTAAGTGTTGAGTAGTGACAATGAAGATAAAGCACTGAAAAATAGTCAGAGATAGTAAAACATACTAAAAATGCCAAGCAAATTAGAAGAATATCAGTACTGCTCCTTCCCTATGATTTGAATATACTAACTTTGTAAGATAAAGAAAAGATATTTTAATTGTACACACAAAGCAATGAGGACTTAGGAATTGATAGAGCCAGGCTAAAGAAAACACAGTTTGGGGTTAGCTGGGCTCTCTCCGTATTTCCATTTACTTATATTCTTTGTGCAGATTTCTGAATACCAGAAGGAGAGGGAATCCAATTGTACTTGGAATTGTTGTTCTCTTTTTCACACTTTTGTGCTACAAGGTACATAAGCTCATAATTATCATGCACTGAGATTCAAAGGAAATACTACAATGATAACATGCTGAGAACTGCAATGAAAATTCATTTAAAAATCAAGTTCAAGAGCTTCGGAGTTCATACTTGGGTCTCTTCATACACACAAGTGCACACATACCCACATGCAAAATACCACATACTTTCAATTTAGGTTTTTCAGTAAAATGGGACAGTGCAAAAGACCATACATATTCAGTTTTTGCACATAACTAGTTATTGTTCCAGTTCTTTGGGATCAGAAAACATAGTGTTTGTATCTCAAATGTTATTGTGATGCTCCAGTACAAATATTATGATGCCATACATGCTATACAAATAGTGCAATATTAAAACAGCTGTATAAGAACGCCAAACTGGAAGGGACTTCCTGGATCGTTGGGTACAGTCTTTTTCTAGAACAGGCAACTACACCGCATGACACTTTTTATTAATTGATTAAGCTCCATCTTAAAAGTAATTAGGTTTTTTGCCTTTACTACGCGTATTGGAAAGCTATTGTAAATCCTCAATACTCTGGTAGTTTCACATTTTCTTCTAATTCCCAAGTTAAGTTTATGCATGCCAGGTCATACTGTTCTGCTGCTCACTTTACACAACTATTCCCACTAAAGCCAATAGGACTGCTAGTCCAATAAGTAAATCAAGGCAAAAATGGGTGAAATTTGTCCCCTTCTTTCTTTTTGGAAGTGCTGGTTCTTCAACCCCGATTTTATTTTTATATGCCTCCTTAAATTGCATACCTATTACAATTATTTTAATGGGCTATTTGTGATTGAGACTTATGCTAAAACAAGGAAGATATAAAGAGCTATAACATTTTCAGAGCTATGCCTTGTTAAGACCAACCCTACAGAAACAGAAACAGCAGTGCTTTTTCCAATTTAATTCAAGTCATCCGGACGGCTGTCAGTGTAAGGCCATCAGTATAGACAATCAAACTTCAGTCAATCAAACTTTTAGTATAGTAGAAACTTCATCATTACACTCTGCTCCGACTACGTGAAAAGGTACATTTATAGAATTTAAGGCTGGAAAGAACCATTAGACTTGTCATTAGACCATTTGGTCTGACAACCTGTATATCACAGGTGATTAAACATCACCTAATTAATCAACTGAGCACAGTAACTTGTGTTTGACTAAAGCAGATCCTCCAGAAAGGCATCCAGTGCTGCTCTGAAGCATCCAGAGACAGAAAATTCACCAATTCTTCGGCAGTTTATGAATAATCCAATGGTTGTCCATGGTTACCCCAATGGTTAATCAGGCTTAACATGACAAGAGTGCATTATTTCCTATTTTACATCTAGTTTCTGCTTCCACCACGGGTTCTTATCACACCTGTCTGCTCCTTATTAGGGAACTCTTTGTTACCCAATATTGTCTCCCTCTGGAGGGACTGATTCTTTGTAAACAGCTCCTCAAGCTTCTTCTCAATAACCTAATTGCTCTAATTAGCTCCCATTTCTCACTGTGAGGCATCTTCTTCAGCTCCCCCATCAGTTTTGTGCCTGTTTTCTGCACCCTCGCCAAACTGCGAAAAGCTTTATCAAATTATAGACACTGGAACTGGACACAGCATTCCAGTAGCAGTATTGCTCTTTAGGTGTCCACAGATCCCATTAGCCCCTTTTTGGCCCAACGGTATAATAATGGAAGCTCATGTTGAACTGCTGGTCCAAAATGACCATTCAATCCTATTCCAGAGTTACAGATACATCCCCACATTACGCAAGTATGGCTTGCATTCCTTACTTCTATAAATACAACTTTGCTGTTGGGTATATTAAAATATATTTTATTTGAATGAATCCAGCTTACTCTGTATGATTGTCCTGTCATTATTGGTACTTCTCATTCTGCCAATCTTTGTGCTGTTTTTTGTTCCAGCCGATAAACACATCCTTTTCACTAACTGTTATTTTTCGCCTGTTTTGGGGCCAGATCCTGCCCTCCTTACTTGGACTAAATATGACTTTATGCTATGAACAGTCCCACTGACATAAAGTACTATTCAACATGATGAACAGTGGTAAACTCTGAGCTTCTAAACTGGAGCAGCAGTTTTCCTTCAGTCTGCACTTTGTTGCTAGCAATCTGACCTTCACTTCCCAGATAAACTGACACAGACATATATCAAAAAAGGAAAAAAACAGCTTTTAACATCAACTCACCATAATCTAACACAATATTCTGCCGCAAAACTATGTTACCCATACAAATGTTAAAATTGAGAAGAGTGAGTTGCATTCCTGGAATTTTTACAGTAAGGCAAAACATTTCCATTATGTTTCACAGGATATTTTGTTGTTGTTGTTGTTTCCACATTAAAAGGGACACAGGAGACCTGGCATCTCTTAATGTCATTCTATATGAGATACTACATTTATGAATTCTCTGCAGCTGCAGTGTGAGCCACGTTCCACCACCTCATCCAAAAAAAAAACTTATATGTCTTAGCAAGTGCAAAAATATTAATGGGAATGAAATATAGTCCCCCTTTCTCCGAAATGGGATATTTTTAGCCCAACTGCTCTAAATGTATTCTACTGTTGGGGGGGAGGGGGGACCAAAACAAGAAGCTACGGAGAGAACTGCAAAAATACGCTGTCACTTTCCAAATAGTGCTAAATGCAAACAACTAAACTTACATGGGATTCAAGCCTGACCAAAAGTGATAAATTTCTTTCTAGTATATTTCAGACTCTTTCTTTCATTCACGGTTTCTTTGTTAGGTTTTTGTTCATTTACAGATTCTGAGTTTAGGCTTGCTTTCCCCAGGCATACATCTCTTCATTTTTTCCCACGCATACGGTTTTTAACATTTACACCACCAATTACGCTATTGCCAAACACCAGCCATTTTGTTTTATGTCATGTTATCGCTTATAGTCTAATAATTTGCTTATCTCTCCATTGATCAAATTACACAGTCTTTTATAAAAAGAGACAATTCAACATATGTGTGTCTCAATTCTAATTTGCACTCTGTAGCACATTAAAATAAGGCAAGAGCAAGATTTACCTGTAAAAAGTTGGAGGGGCAGCTTCCCTCATTCCAAAGCCGCTTTGATCATTTTCAAGGTAGTACGGTACTTGTTGGCTATGGTGATGAATGAACGGAGAGAGCTGGGGCGCAGTTTGTAAGAACACCACTGGGCTCGGAGGGACATTGTTCAGTGAATGAAACCCTCCCAAACTGCTGGATCCATATGAATCAGAAGTAGGGGCATAACTGAGGCTAGTAGAGCTGTACACTGGAGCAGCAGTGGCAAAATCATAAGTGGTGCCTTCTGGGTAGTTAAAAATGCCTGTCTTGTTGCTCTCCACATACATCTCACTGAGCGAACGATCTAAGGGAATCTTCAGCTGAGGTCTGCTCAAAGTCTCCAGTTCAGTGCCTTGAATCTGGTGCAGCAGAGTAACTCCAGAGGTTTTGGTGTGAAGGGTCATGGTCATTGTTAATGGCAGCGAGCAAGAGGCATATCGGTTTTTATTGTCAGCAGACAAATCAGCAGCTGGTAGCCCACCTGAAAAAAGAACAGATCCTAGTCTGAGGCTCCGCAAATATCATGTTAAGGCAGCACTGCACAGGTATTCATGTAATCTCAGCAAGGAGGAGCATACATTCAAATACAGCATTAGCACTGAGAAAACTCTCTCCCCCCACTTCTCTCTCTCTCTCCTTTCTCTGCAACTTTTAAGTACTTCTCATCTGAGCTAATATGCATTACAAAGGTGCTGGCCATAGGCCAGGAACTCTTGCCTTGTGCTGACATTGGTTTAAACATCATTTCAGAAGCAATTAGTTTTGGAGTGATACCAAATAATTGTTCTACTACACTTTACTTCACTCTTATTAGTTGTTTAATTTTTCACTTCACAGGGCCCTGATGCTCTACGGTGCTTAAGGCAAAACAGTACTTATATCAAATTAGGAAGACTAGTCCAGTGGTCAGTCAGATTACTGCTTTTTATTTTCCCACCAGGCTCCAATCTATCTCTGTTTATCTCTTCTCCCGTATGATTCATTTTCATGTTTGCTAGAAATATGTAATGTGTACATTGTAATGACCCTGGCTAGGACTGTGCTGTAACTGAGATATGGCTGAGTACAATGTGTGTGTACATGTGTGTGTGTATGCAGCTAGTCACAGTCAGTAAAACTCCATTTAGAAGAAATTAATGGATCTACTATATCTATGTAGGAGAAAAGACACATAAATACACTTTCTGCAATTATGATTATTCTTGTTATTTAACTGGCAGCTGAATGCAAGAGGAAAAAGAAAAGAAAATCCTTTCAGATTCTCCTGTACATCTCTGCCTGCTTCTTGTTCATCATGTAAAATCAGAGCAACATAAGCTTAAATATGAAATAAAGCATCAATTAGACCTTGCCATATTGAATCCCAGATAGCTCATCAAAAATAGGGTTAATTATGTGAAACATGAATTGAATATTAACAAATTTAATAGGAGTATTTTCTTCCTGATTTCCTAGTGATAAACATTTAGGACACGTCAACTGAGACACCAGTTTAGAAAATCCAAAAAAATACAAAAGGTCCAATTTTTCAATAAAATAAAAATGTCCCACTTAAAGCTACTTTAATACTAAGCAAGAAAAACAGAATTATACTGAAAAAGTGTGGCATGCATGTGTCTTCTGGTAATCTTTTTTCACTGTATTTTAACTTAACAGAAACTGTTGGTCCTGCACCAATCTAATGAAAACCTCTGAAAATTGTTGCAAGTTCTCTAGCAATGCTATTATGGTCTGTGGTTCAGTTGGTACAATGGATTGGTTTAAATACCTAACACACAAATACAGGGCTCTGGTTAACATGGCTTGAATATTAATATAAATCATACCAAAATAACTACATGCATCAGACAACCATTTGAAAATCATGTTAATCAAATAGGGTTTAAAGAAGTATAGAAATATCTTTGCAAGTTTTAACATGAATTAGTTTCAAATCAACTTTACAATAAATGGTTTAACCTAAAGAAAATAACTATTAATATAACATATCAAAGCTTTTGCTAAACAAGAAAAAAATAACCTGTACTTGTAAGATTTCACAGAAACATACTCAAACTCTGCATACACACAGCAGCATACACTTCAATGTATATGCACTTGATAGATTCCCCCCACTTTCTACTCCCAACTCAAATTTCAGACTGTAGACTTTGATCAAATAGATAACAATATTTAAATAAGGCTGAACTAAACACATACCTAGTTTTTAAAAAAAGATCAGACAATCATACCCAGCAGTACAGAAAGTCTTCTAAGAAATATTCTGAAAATATGTCAAAATGTGCAAATGTGTGTAAGAAAGAGTGTGTGTGTGTGCACGCGTGCATGTGCATGTGCAGTGTGCATGTCAGTTTTTGCGAGGGCTCATGAAGCAAGCAAAGCTCTCAGCAGCTTCCTGAATACAAGAGCCAGTAGCTGTGCTACACAGACCATAATGCATGGCAGTTTACAAGTTTAAGGTTAGTTACTGCATGCAGAGTCATTTAGCATATCTTGAATATATTTAAACCACAACATTATCTAACATGATCTGCTCTTATACTGCATAATTTGAGAATTATGTTTAATTTTACTATTAGGAGGGTAGTACACATTTCTAAAATATGCTACACTTGTACATTTAAGGTTTGATTTAAAACACTGTATGATTTTATATTGTTTTATTTGAAAGATATGACATCAGCATATAATAAATGTTACATTGCCCTATAGTTGCAAAAACAAAAGTGACTTGACTTTTGAACACAATGCCATGAAATTTGAATGTTTAAAAGCAAAAACAAATGGCATTTTCATTGAATTTGCCATGGGCGGGGGGGAGGGGATTAGAAGACTAAAGCTAAATTCCATCATTTACAACTATTTGCTAAACGGCATTGAAAGGTTTTGTGTGGTACGACAAATGGAAACAATAGTACAGAACCCCGTCTTTTCCCCTTTATAGCACTTTGGTTCAAAGTCTCCGTACCAGCTCTGTGTAGGCTAGTGTATGGAGCTGCAATGATGGCACGCAGGGCAGGGTACAAAAGAAGGATGAAAACATGGAAGTAAAATTTACCTGTACCCAGTAACAGCTATGAAACTGATGCAGAGTATCTGCAAAGAAATTTAAGCTGTAACCAGCTGTCAGTGTTTCCTGCAACACCCAGCCTACCTAGAAGGTACCTGTCCTGCTGAAAAGGGGCTTAGCAAGCCCTGACAACTACTCTGGAAGTGAGCTTGTTACCGCACCTGAATGTAAGGGAGGTGGGAGTGGCTCTCTTCAGTGAGGATCTAGGGGGTTGAACTAAGCAACTTCTGTTGCAGGACACCGCCAAACCTGGAAAGAAGTTGCCCCCAGATTTTCTTTGTTGCAGTTTGTTTCAGGAGGTTATTTTTTGAAAAAAGTCGTTTACTTTGCAGCACATAAGACTGGTGAAAAGTTTCTAATAACTTGTAATATTTTATACATTTACTTTTTTCTCTAAATCTCAAAGCAATTTGTAAAGTTGTAGGTCATATTTTACAGATAGGTGTAACACGTTTAAAAGGTTTTGTGCACAATCTTGCACACACAAAAATGAAAGACCCAGTATTTGAAACAAGGTCTTTGTGCTTAGAGGCCAGAGTTTATTCTGCTATGTACAAATCCAGCCTGGTCACTCCGATTTATTGATTCTTAGATTTCCCATCTGCGAAATATACCTAATACTCGTACTTGGCACTTTTGCTTCAGTGGATCCCACAGTTTTTAATAAAAAAGGGCACAGTATCCCATTTTACAAACATCCTGAAAATAATTATGTGATTTGATAACATTTGTGTGGGCAGTTTTTAAAATACAAATTGCCACTTACAGTCTGCGCATTAAGGATACATATAATTAACTAAATGGTTAATTTAGCCCACATCTGCTTGCTACAATGCCTTTACTTAACTCATATGGATCAAAAGTGCTTTAAATATCAAGTAATATCAACTCTGCTGATTTCAGACCCAGTGCTTACACTACTAATGCACGTTCAATTGTAGCCTGGCTACCAAATATCTTGGTGTCTGATTTCTCACATTTGAAAAAGGCTATCTTGCTATATATTTACCTAGAACTCACATACAGAACAAGGCCATCTCTCTCTCTCTCTCATAAAATGTGAAGAGAATTTTTTTTGAAAAGCTTCATTAGTGACATAGTGACATTAGACGTTCATTTCTAAATTAAGCATTTAGATCAGTTTTATCTAATTTGCAAAGAGTAGGAATATGCAAATAAAAGTAGTTATCATGCAAAAGTGGATAAAGAAGCTAATACAAGAACAGGTAGAGGAAAGAGAGAAACACAGGGGTACTGCAAAAGGAGAGTCAAGCCTCTGTGGGCATGTGTACACTTGCATATTAATGCATATGAATAAACTCTGGAGCTTATTGCTCCAGAGATTATTGTTCCAAGGTGTGTGTCTTCAAATGCGCCTGGAATCACAGCACGTTCAGCTGAGTCAGAGCAGCCCCAGCTGGCTCGGGGCCTAGGGAGTCAGCTTGCCACTCTAACCTGGCTCAATATGCTACAGAGGGGCTGGCTCTGGAATGAGGATGCTTCACTGTAGGGCTAGGCAGCAGGCAGCCCCTGCACTGAAGCACCTTCATGCACCAGCCAGCTGGGGCAGTGTTTACATATGTGCTGCTGTGGAGTTTTTTACACATTTACACATGTGCTTCTATTAGGCTGCAGTAAAGTAATTTACTCTGCAGCAGGATAGTACTTGTATTTACAAGGGACTTGTATTTACAAGTACGATCCTACTTCAGAGTGACTTTACTGCAGCCTAATGGGGTGCGTGTGTAAACGTGAGACATTTACTGTGCAGCTGATTAGTGTACTGCACAGTAAAAGTCTCATGTAGACACACTCTGTAACTGCAATGTATACACTTCATTTCAACAAGAAAATCAAAGCAGAAACTAGCTATACATGTGCTGATTTTCATGGTGAGCCCAAAGCCTAATACTAAGATTCTGAAAGCAGTCTGCATTTAGATGTGTATCTTTTATTAATTCTAAATGAAAATGCGTAACTAACTCCTCTGTACTGCTTTAATATTTCAACCTAGAATTTTGCTATTCAAGACACTTCAGAGCTATGCAGTGCAGGTCAGTGTTTCCATAATGAAGGATTCACTCTGAACTATGCTGGATAGAATAAAATACAGAATGGACTAACTAAACACAACTTTATGGTTAAAATAAATATTATTTGAAGTTCATGGATCTCTCTTAACTTGAGAATTGTATTGGTATTTTTTTCCCCATACTGATAGCAGTCCAAGCCATTTCAGGTCACTAATAAAATCTGCTGGTTTGTGGTTATCACAGTTCTTCTAACTTGGTTGATGAAAACTGATCCTCTAATTATCTTAATATAATAAACATCAAATTAGCAGCTGCATTCAAGCTGAGTTTTGGTTCTATTTTTCCACTGACAATAAACTGATCAGCTAAAACATAATACTAAACCAAATTTAGGATGTTACAGTGACAAAAACATGGGTATACTTCTATTAAAACACCAACCTTGAGACATAGGTGAGGGGAAAAACCACGAAGGGAGAAGTAGCCTTTTTGCACTGATAAAAAATGAAATGACACCAGCAGGATGTTACATGGGCTACTGAAACAGAAAAGGGCAAATTGGTGGACAGAATTATGAAAGAAATGACACAGATCCTTACCATAAGAATGAAAAGGAAATTTGAGGGTGTCCAATCTTCTCTGCATTCTCACCTCTAGAAGTTTCTGACTAAACTAAAAGCCCCACTTGAGAATTAGGGAGTGCTAGATAAGAAAGTCACACTTAAAAACCAAACAAAAACAAACAAAAAGATCTAGCATGACCCTGAAACAGATTCTTGATGCTGGAAAAGAAACTACAGCAATTTAAGAGAGGGAGTGATTAAGGTAAAGTAGCTGTTACATACAAATTATTAGAACTGCAAAGAACCCAAAAGATTCTGAAGTGTCCCAATCAACTTCTCTCCTCCTTTTCCCTGGCTTTCAATTTTATTAGGAATCACAACAAAAATAGCAAGCTCAGAATTAAGAGTATACTGTAAGTTTGCCCCAAAATTTGCTGAGCATGAGACCATACACTTCATTGGTTTGACCCCACACTATAAAAACAGAAATGTTTTTAGCTGCTGCATTTAAAAAAAAGAATCGATTGCACATAATAGAAGAAAGAACACTGTGTTTTTCCAAGAATCATCCATAGTACTGCAGAAAAATAATGCTGCTTTATTTGCCCAGTGAGGAAACTCCTAGAGATAGACACTTAGGGAACAGCACCATCTATCCAACTACTTTATAAATCTTCACTGCAAAAGAACATAAAACCTTCAGACCACCAGACCAGTCCCTTAGGAGCTCCTTACACCATTGGCAAAAGATTAGCTCTTCAATATATTACTTATGGCTTATAATGTTTGAATGTCCACATGTTGACCTGGGAAACATCTGTTCTGCTGTTTCCTGGTAACCTGCTGTAAACATGATGAGGACTAAGAGGCTGAGACCTAGGATGCCCAGTTTTACATTTAAATGTTAAGTTAGCTTATATAATAATGGGGGAATGGCTAATTTCTCATGCAAAAAGTTTATCTAAATTCCCAAATGAAAAATATATATGTTGGAAGCAGCTGCTTAAAATATTTTTTAAATTAAACAAATGTGTATGAAAAAGTTAAGTTGGTTAATTTTTATAATTTTTAAACATTACAGTTTTTGGTGATTCTTCCTGCTTGCTCTTTATACTAAATGAGGATGTACTACATATTTTTTTCACTGATTAGCAGAACATGCTGCTTTTAATATGATCAAAATGTTAAGGGGAGGTGGAATTGATCATATATTCTGTTCCTGAAATGCCTATTTCATTCAAAAACTGATCAAAAGAAAACTGTGAGCAAGACAGCTAATATTAGCTCTCATTAAAGTTGTCTTTTGCTTTCTATTTTAAAAGCTATTTTTCAGTTACTTGTAGCATTACTAAACTTTTAGCCACACAAGCTCGAATTTTAAACATTAGCATCTACTCACTCTGAAATGTTTCAGAAAATTTGAGCCAAATGAAGCCATTTCTGGGCATGAGGTTAGAGAGAAACGCCCTGTTTAGCCTAGGGGTGTCAAAGATACACACACCACATCTGGCCCATGGAGACTTACCATCTGGGCCACGGTGCTGCCTGAAGGTCCAGATGGAACTGGTCTGATGCATGCTGTGTGTGGTCCACAGGGCCAGTCTTGGGTGTGCTGCATGGGGTGCCAATCCAGGACATGTGCTTCATGTGGTGCCCATGCC